GGACGAACAGGAGCAGACAGACAGAAAACGAGGAGCATGAAGAGACAGGCAGGGAGGCAGCGTGAGAGAAAAGAACAGAGAGGCTGAGAGGGAGGGGAGGGAGGCACAGACAGACACAAGACACAATGGTGGAAAGAAAAAAGCCCACAACATGGAGAGGAAGAGCCCAGGAAGCATGGGGAAGGGTGGTAGGAAGCTCAGGAAGAAAGGTTTTCCTAAGTCAGCCAGTCGGAAGAAAGCCACCGCCAGGGGAGCAACTGCAGCCGCGACTCCCGCCCAGCCACCCACTCTCCACCCCCACCCACTCCTCCCCACCCACGCCCAGCCCCAGAGGCTGCATCCACCACAGTGAGGGGTCACAGGAGCCTCCACAGAGGCAGGGTGGAGGGCATTGGTGCTGGAGAAGACAGAATGTCTCCTCCAAATCTCACCAGCAGAGGGGAAGCCGCCAGAGGGTAAGGGCCAAGGATGGCCTGGCATTAAGAGGGAGTTCCCTGTGAGAAATCTGCGGAGGCTCAGCTGTGGAGACACTGGAATTTTCCACTCTGCGACAAGCGTCTGAGACCAGCTGAGGGAAACACTGCCTCTGCCCAACCCACCCTGGCTTTCCTCCTACAGACGCTTAGGTGGCCCCGGCAGTGTGCCAGGCCTTGTGCTGGCCCAGGAGAGGGAGTGAGGGAAGCAGGTGCAGCCTTCGGGGAGTCCAGGCCGGCAGGGAGAAGGCACGCGGGCAGCAAAGAGACACTATGAGGCCGGGGCCAAGTCCATGGGCGCCTGCGGTGGGAGACGCCATTTCTAGTTTGGAGAAGCAGGTTCTGGAAGATCAAGCCTTTGAAAAGCAGCTAGAAAGAAAAAAAAAAAAAATCACCTACCCGGGAGGCTAAGGCAAGAGAACGGCGTGAACCCAGGAGGCAGAGCTTGCAGTGAGCCAAGATTGCACCACTGAACGCCAGCCTGGGCCACAGAGCAAGACTCCGTCTCAAAAAAAAAAAAAAAAAAAAAAAAAAGGTTGGGGGGAGTTGGAGAGGTCAAGAGAGGGCAAGTTATTCAGACAAAGGCAGGAACATGGGAAAGCCCAGAGTGTGAGACTGCAAGTGACCCGCACGGGCTTGTTCTATGGGAAAGAGACTGTGGAGGCCCTCACTGGCATACTCGTGTATTGTTAGTTGACTCAGTGGGAAAGGAGAGGCCATACCATGATTTTAGCAGAGGAGAGATAGGAATCATGCCGTGCCTCAGCCTCGGAATCTGGATGCTCCTTCCTCTACTTAACTCACCGGGCGAACTTGAACAGGTCATCTACCTCCTTCCGGTTCCGTGTTCGGTGAAACAGGAGGCTTTAACCAGACTGATATTCACTATGCTGGAACCAAAGAAAACTTTGGAATCTTTTTTTCCCAGCTTATAATCGTGAACAACCACTGAGTCAATGAGCTCTGGGCCCTTCCCACCCTGACGATGCCAGGGGCATGAAGGGGCTGTGCCCCCTCCTTCACCGTTGGCTCCTTCAAACCTGCCCCACCCACTTGCAGGCCTGTCTGGTTCCTCCTTGCTCATCACAAAGTCTGGGCACAACCTGCAGCAATTTTCCCCAGGCAGCTGCCATCGATGCCCACGAAGGCACATCCTTCCTGCCCCTCACACAGGAGTAATAGCAACAATCACACGCCTCACCCGATGCCAGTGGTATGGTTCTCCAATGCTGAGCACGAGTTCTCAGACCCTTACACCTGATCATTCATTTAATCCTCACGACAATCCTCTGAGGTGGGTGTTAGTACTGCCCCTCACTCTAAATGATTAAGGGGAAGCTGGGAAGAATTTCTGTATAAAAAGACACAGGAGAAGCAAACTGCCTGGAATAAGCTGCCTTGAATTTGCCTTGAAAGAGCGTTTGCTGGTCAGGCGCAGTGGCTCAGGCCTGTAACCCCAGCACTTTGGGAGGCCAAGGCAGGTGGATCACAAGGTCAAGAGATCGACACCATCCTGGCCAACATAGTGAAACCCCATCTCTACTAGAAATATAAAAATTAGTCCATCTCAAGTAAAAAAAAAAAAGAAAGAAAGAAAGAGCATTTGCTGGTTGAGTGCTCTCATTTTATTTAGTATGTTTAAGATCAATAAAAGTAGATACTTTGGGAAAAACAATAATCCAGACCATGCAGTTTTTGTTTTTTGTTGTTTTTGTTTATTTGTTTGTTTTTTTGAGACCGAGTCTTGCTCTGTCACCCCGGCTGGAGTGCAATGGCACTATCTCAGCTCACTGCAACCTCCACCTCTCGGGTTCAAGCAATTCTCCTGTCTCCGCCTTATGAGTAGGTGGGACTACAAGTGCCTGCCACCACGCCTGGTTAATTTTTGTGTTTTTAGTAGAGATGGAGTTTCACCTTTTTGGTCAGGCTGGTCTTGAACTCCTGATCTCAGGTGATCCACCCACCTCAGCCTCCCAAAGTGCTGGGATTACAGGCATGAGCCACCATGCCCAGCCAATATTGTTGTTTTGAGGACTTCATGAGTGCTGATAGAGATGGGGAGTCTACAGTCTCTTCCAAAGTTCATAAGGGATGGGGGTTGGGGAGGGAGGTTAATGAGTCCCTAAGGCCTGGGAATGGTGTTTAAATCAAAAGGAGGAGACCGTCTATTTTGGAGGATTGTAAGGAAGGCCAAGAATTATAAGGATACCTTTCTCATGAAACCATTTCTCAGCATCTCAGTCTACCCCTTTGGCTACTTCCTGCATGAGGGAGTGTTAAACTCACCGCTGCTGGGGAAGGTTCCTCTGGGAAACCTGTGCCTACTCCCCACCCCTCCACCAGAAAGGGGCCAGCAGGAGTGTCACTTCTTACTGCAGGAGGAAGACCTTTCACTACACGAGTTCTCCTGGAGCCACCTTCCTCTGATTGTACAAATGGGGCAAGGGTTCTGAGTCTCCCTGGGCTTATGTGACCCTCTAGACAAACCATTCTTCTCCTGCTTACATAACCAGGATGCCACAGGGCAAATGACAAATGGACAGAATCAATCTAATGAGATCGGAGGGACTGTTTTGAAAGCATAGAGCTGGCCGGGCGCGGTGGCTCACACCTGTAATCCCAGCACTTTGGGAGGCCAAGGCGGGTGGATCACGAGGTCAGGAGATCGCGACCACCCTGGCTAACATGGTGAAACACCATCTCTACTAAAAATACAAAAAATTAGCCGGGAATAGTGGCGGGCACCTGTAGTCCCAGCTACTTAAGAGGCTGAGGCAGGAGAATGGCGTGAACCAGGAGGCAGAGTTTGCAGTGAGCCGAGAGTGCGCCACTGCACTCTAACCTGGGCAACACAGCGAGACTCCATATCAAAAAAAAAAAAAAAACCACACAGAACTGTATACAGATTAGGCTGTTAAAGCCTGCCTTGTAAGAGATGTGAAACACTCTAGAAGCAAAGACACAGCATCAGGACTCAAAACATGTACAGGGGGAAGAAAGCCCATGTTTCTGGCTCCCCTTCTTCCTAATCCCCCCAACTGACTGACAAACCCTCATCTTGGCCAAGGGTATTCCAAAGGAAACCTGAAAATCTAGTTCAGGCCATGTTGGGAAGTGAGGTCAGACATGGCTCATTATACCCTCCTCCCTTAGGGATTCAGGCACAACTGACCAGTATTAACCTTAAAACAGAGATCTTAAGACTGACCAAACAGACTGTTGCAAAAAGATATCAACATGACAGGTAGCAGGCCCTAAAAGAAATTGAAGTATTTTACCCCAAACTATACTTATTTGACATATTTTGAAATGGCCCTGTAATGCTGTCTCTTGTGGGGAAAATTCCCATTCTATAGAGAATTCTCTTCCCTCTCCAGGTCTTTTCCCTGATCCAGGAGATAACTGACAGAAGAGTCTGGCACCTTTTAGGTCTGATGAGAGCTCTACAGCCTGCTACCTGGAGGTTGCATGTGCATGATAAACTGTGGTCTCCACAACCCCCATCTTAACCCAGACATTCCTTTCTATTGGTTCGAGGTCTTTAGATAATAACTCTTTCAACCAATTGCCAATCAGAAAATCTTTGAATCCACTTATAACTTGGACGCCCTCCCGCCGCCCACCCACCTCCTGCTTGGAGTTGTCCTACCTTTCCAGTGAAAACAATATGCATCTCACATGTATCGATTGATGTCTCATGTCTCCCTAAAATATATAAAACCAAACTGTAGCCTGACCATGTTGGGCACATGTTCTCAGGATCTACTGGGGCTGTGTCACAGGCCATGGTCACTCATATTTGGCTTAGAATAAATGTCTTCAAATATTTTACAGAGTTTGACTCTTTTTGTCAACACCTTCCCTTGTTTCCAGATCAAAACCTGTGAAAACAAGAGCCAGCTCAGGTGCTTCCAGTAAACAGCAATACGTCATCACGCCCCCATCTGAAAAAAAGGAGCTTCCCTCTGGGCAAGAGGAGCCCAGGTAGGGAGGGCTACAGAGCACCAGGGCTCTGGGCTCTTTCTAAGCCCAACACCCAGCGGGGCCCTGCCAGGCAAGGGCAAGTGGCAGGCACTGGGCAGCTTGTGTGGACACAGCCCTGGCCTGACCCTAGGGAAGCACATGCTCCCTGCCTTCAGGGTGCTTTTGGGGGACATGGACGCAGGACCCTAGCAATACAGCCACCATTACAGACAGGCCACCGGAGCCAGCTCTGAGCCTTGGACTGGGAGGGAACAGGAACGGAGAGAATGCTGGTGGGATGGGGACACCATCCAGGATGGCTACCCCAGAGGGGAAGTTCTGAAGCAAATTGGCAAGGTGAACAGGGACCAGGGTCCATTCATTCATTTATTCATCCATTTCTTTAACAAACATCTGCAGAACCTACTAAACTCCAAACACTGCTGAGGAACTGAGGACAGAGATGAATAAAATAGAATTCCTCCCTTGGAGAAACTTACAACCCAGAGGAGAGGACGGACATATCTATAAAAAATTACACCCTTAAGTAAGGGCTGCATCCAAATATGTACCAGTCCATGTGTGAGCAGAGAGGAGGGGTGGGCACACTGACCTGGGTCATGGGTGAGGGGTGAAGGGTGGGAGCTTCCAGGCAGACAACAGGGAAGGCTCACCAGGCAGACAAAAAGAGAGAGAGAGAGAGAGAAGACAGGGGTTGGGGAGAGAGAGAGAGAAATGCCACAAGGACCAGCCCATTGTCTCACCCGACTGAAGAGGTAGGTGCCCAGGGGAGAGGTAGGTGAGGAGAGAGGAAGTCTAAACTCAGACCAGGAGGGCTGTGAATGCCCAGCTGCGAGGTTTAGGGGCTTCTGGAGGATGTTGGCAGGAAAGGGCATGACCATTCGAACCTGAGAAAGGATGGGCTGGCAGGGGAGGGGGACACAAGGTGCTGAGCCAGGGTGTCTGGTGAGGATTGGAGAGACCCAGCAGGGGAGGGAGGGCAGTCTCAGAGGGAGTAGGGCCTCCTTCAGTGCTTGAAATGAGGCCAGGTGCTGATGATGTTGTACAAAGCCTGCCCAGGGGACAGGATGCTAACCACGTCACTGTGGCCCACCAGCAGGTAGTTTGGAGTCAGGTACCCCTCAACCACGGCACACTGGATCAGGTCCTGGGCCGCCTCCAGAGCTGCGGCATTTGGTGGCTTTTCTGCAAAACACATTTTCCCCATCAGTCATTAGGGGTCAAAGTTTCTTGATTAGGGAAGGGACAAGCACCTAGATTCCAGTTTCTTTCTCCCCCCCCCGCCCCCGCCCCATTCCACCATCACCATAGCCAACACATTTACATAAATTGTGGCAATCAGGCACAAAAAGAAAACAAGGTCACAGCTTTGTCTGATTCCTCCATGCCAAAGTTTCTTCCAGAAGGTTAAAAAACTGCTCTGGAAGAGAACTGCAGCACAATACACCACTTCTGAGCAGGTATAAAGCAGATACAGCACCACAGAGACGCCTACTGGTTTTCTATAACAGACATTGGTGCTCCCCAAATTGTTGCCATGACTACCAAGAAAGGGGACCCATTTGCCAACTGAGCGATAAAAGCACTGAAGTTTCCAAAAGACTTTTCCCCCCTTGCTCCATGTTTGCCTTGGATATAGAGCGAGGTGGAGCTGGGCATGGGGATGGGTGGATTTGGGGGTAAATGCTCTGTCTGAAAGGGGATCTTGGTGACATCCTGTATTAAAAGTCCACTTTAAAGCTAAACTATTCCACTCACACTGCCAGACACTACAGGACTGCCTTTCCCGCCATGCTTCCCAGACATGCCGCCTGGTCTCTCAGCCCCCAGCACCCCTCTACCGCATGCTCACCCCTTACCTACAAAGTAGCCGATGAAGGCAATTCCTAGGGCAATATCATTGAATCCATAAGTGTGAGAGCCTTGGACGTGCCATCCAACCCCTTCATACACGCCACCATCCTGGCCCACCAGGAAGCTTAAGTCAGGAAAAGAAAATGAAGACAGTCACTCTGGGAAACAGAATTTAAATACTTCATTCACTCCTTCAACCATTCGTTCATTCTTTCATCCATTCACCAGATATTGACTGGAGATCTCTTATGTGCCAATGTGGACAAGGACAGAAAACAAAACAAAACAAAAAGACACCACAATCCACTTCAACCTGGCCTTTGTTCCCAACACACCACTAAATCTGACCCCTCCAAGGTGAGCAGTGGCTTCCTGGCACTCAGTACAATGGACACTTATTTTACTTCTGGACTACACTGACCCTGTTGACCACTCTCTTAAAATGTTCCCTTCCCTGGGCTTCCACAGTCGCACCCTTCCACAACCATGACTCACTCCACCCTTCCCCTGCTGCTCTCTCAGGCCCCTCTGCCACCCCGCTTCCCTTCCTCAAACATGGTGCTCCTCTGCACTCTGGTCTAGGCCATTCTCTCATTCAACATATTCACCCTGGAAAATCATTGCCACAGCTTCAAGAACTACCTGTAAAAACAGTGCAAGCAAACTCGCCTTCTTCTAAAATTTCTCCAGCTAGAAAACTGGACAACACTCTGAATGCCTTCTAGCCTCTCACTCAGTCCACCTGGTCACCAATCATGGCTTGTCAATTGTGTCTCCTACACAACTTCTAAATTCCTCCACTTCTTTCTAGACCGACTGCCATGGTCCCACTCCAAGTCACTGGATCACTGCAATAGCTTCCTGCCCAGAGTTTTGCCTCCTTCCAATCCATTCTTAAAGTAGCACCCAGAGTGATTTTTCTAAAATACAAATCCTATCATAGGGCATGACCTCCCAAATAGTCTGCAGCTGCCTTTCAAATAAAGTCAGTCTCTCTGAGTCCGCTATGAGGCCCTCTGCAATGTGGCCCCCACAGGCACTCCCACCCTTACTGCTCACCACTCCACTCTTTCAAATCTATTTGCAATGCTCTGTCTGAACCCTGGGCCCTGGCAAATGCTATTCCTCCTCACCCAGACACTCTTCCTCCTTCTTTGCCTGAATAAACCCTACTCCTTATCCTTGTCCTAATGAAGATACTCCTCCCTCTAGAGGCTATTCTCAGACCCCAGTCACTCCCTGCAAAGCCTTGATTAGAAGCTCATCCTATACATTATCCTGTTCTGCATCCATCACAGTGCTCAACACTCTGACTTGTAGTTACTTGTTAGCCCTCCTTCTCTCATATCTATCAGTGAAAGTTGTCAGAATCAAAATGGAGTCAGTTGTGTCAAACTCTAACAAAAATAAATAAAGCCAGGAGGTTGAGAACGGTGGACCCTCATGCACACAAGCCTACAATAAGAACTAGCACAAAGACTCTGAAGGACTCTTATGCACACAAGCCTGTAACAAGAGCTTTTGCCAAAAAACGTTCGAAACTGCAGCTTGTTACTAGCCACAAGAACATCTGGTGATGAAGAACACTTGCCCAACACACTGTCTCCACTAACGAACTGGTGTCACCTCCTGCCTCCTGTGATAAGTGCCAGTGTTCTCCAGGGTTCCCTTTATTTCAAAACAAATGATGTATACTTTTCCCTTTTGCCTTTAAAAGCTTCCTCTAGCCTGAACCTCTTTGGATATGCCTATGGTTCCTGTAGCATGCATATCCCAGATTTGCAAATTCCCTGTGCACTACCAAATAAACTACTTATCTTTATTCTCTTGCTTTTGTTTTTGGTTTTTTTTTTTTTTTTTTTTTTTTTTTTTTTTTTTGAGACAGGGTCTCACTCTGTTGCTCAGGCCAAAGGGCAGTGGCAAAACCATGACTCACTGCAGCCTCAAACTACTAGGCTCAAGCAATCCTCCTGTTTCAGCCTTCCAAGTAGCTGGGACTGACTACAGCTATACATGCCACCACACCCAGCTAATTATTTTATTTTTTTGAAGAAATGGGGGTCTCCTTACGTTGCTCAGGCTGGTCTCAAACTCCTGACCTCAAGCAATCCTTCCGTCTCGGCCTCCTAAAGTGCTGAGATTCTAGGCATGAGCCACCGTGCCTGGCCAAATTCATCATCTTTGGAGAATCTCTTTCTGTGTGTTGTTAGATTGACATATCTTGTCTAGCACCAGGCATACAGTAGCTATCCAATAACTATTGATTAAAAAGCTAGAAAATAATGTGTGAGTGGATGCTTTGTCCTGATTACAGTCCACATCAGGGTTACAGATGACATATCATGAAGCTGGAGCAGAAGGATATTGCAACAGGTTTTGAAAAGTCAAGGAATGGGGATCGAGTCTCTAAAGACTAAGTGAAAGAGGAGAACAAACATTCCCTCAACTTCTGGCATTTTCCATGTGGAATTTCCAGATTTATAGTCAATTTCCTGTTACCTGTACTAAATAATCATAGAAAGCCTTTGGAAAATCCCGCAAAGTGAAGCAAGAGTTCCCTCCTGGCCGGGCGCGGTGGCTCAAGCCTGTAATCCCAGCACTTTGGGAGGCCCAGACGGGTGGATCACGAGGTCAGGAGATCGAGACCATCCTGGCTAACACGGTGAAACCCCGTCTCTACTAAAAAGCACAAAAAACTAGCCGGGCGAGGCGGCGGACTCCTGTAGTCCCAGCTACTCGGGAGGCTGAGGCAGGAGAATGGCGTAAACGTGGGAGGCGGAGCTTGCAGTGAGCTGAGATCCGGCCACTGCACTGCGGCCCGGGCAACAGAGCGAGACTCTGTCTCAAAAAAAAAAAAAGAGTTCCCTCCTGCTTGCAAAGGCTGCTTTTAAAACAGGAGTTAAAAGGAGAGACAGTAGGCTCAGAACAACACGTTTGCAAAAGCACGTCTACCTGAGACTTTGTAGTATTTGTTGTGATTAAGTCACAGATGAATAATTGAAATACATTCTACTCTAAAAATTCCAAGACATTTTCCAAATAGCTTCTTCTACCCCATTAGTTTAATGTGTTTCTTTATTACAGACCTGGCATTAAAGGTACCAAAAGAGAACGTTTTGATCTCACCCCCTGTATTCAAACAGATAAAGTATTTTCCCTATTGTAGAGATGAGATAAAAGAGGCCCAGAAAGGTCACAAGTTCCTACACCTATAAAATGAAGTAAGTAACACTGGAAGAATAGCAGGATTCTAATATCAGAGAGAGCAAGTTTGGAGCTGGGCAGACTGAGGTAGTAGTGAGCAAGGCCTTTGTCTCTGACAGGTTAGAAAGCATTGCATTAAAAAGGTATAACCCTTCATGGCCTTCCCTGAGGATATCACAGTCTTGCTTTATCACTAGGCTTCTAATTCCTTCTTTTCAGAATCTTCCCAACCACTTGTGGAGATACGTCCAAGCGAGATAACTGACCATTAGCTATGCTCTGAGTGATCCTCAGCCCAGTCTTGCAAAAATAAAATACGATTCCTCATGGAAAGCACCCAGTCCTAAGGAGAGCCTCAGGAAACATCAATTCCCTCCCACAGCCTTCCTTCCTACAATTCTGAAGAAAAAGAGGCATTGTCTTGGCATTGATCCCACTTACTGATATCCAATGTCACAAAAGTTCCGTGTGTCCATGTGAAAGGACTGTATGTTTCGGACGACAGTCTGGCAGTCTGTGGATACAGTGCAGCTTGTGCCAGCGGTGTGGATGATGATGACGTATTTGGCTGGGAGGTTCATTTTAGGGCAGTGTGTCTCTCTGGCTTCCCAAACAGATCGTTTGATGATGTTGGGGCAAACTGTGGTAAGATGAAAAGTCAAGGGAATAAGAATTTGGTTTTGCCTCCCTGTGAGCAATCGCTCAACTCCAGGTTGAATTATTGCTCAGCCTCTCCTAGGCCTCCAGCACCCACGGGTGCATCCTAATGTAAGATCGGCTGTGGGATCCTGGGGAAGTCCAGATGGAGGGTTTCTGAGTCAGATGGCTGGAGCCAAGGGGCTGAGGCAAAAATCTACAGGTCTGATACCCATAGAAATCAGTGTAGAAGCAGAAGGGAGAGGACTCTGGGTTATACAGAGGCATGGTCATTGTCTTCAAAAGACCGTGCATTGCAAATACATATGCAAGTATTTGTGCTTCTGTATCAGGGCCACTACATGGAAAGTCAGTGGACTCTCTGAACTGATCACACATATTTGGAAAAAACTTAAAATCTAGAAAGAACTGTACAAATATTAAGGAATTATCATTATTGAAGATAGTGCCTGTCCAAAAGCAAGAAATATTTTATTTAGCAATTCACAATTTTAAAAAGCTAATCCTAAAAATATCATTGTTCCCAAGAAAAGGTCCACACTAGCAGAAGTGCTTATTAATTTGACTGGTTTTAGGTTGCTGCTTATTCGCTTCAAAATAATGCTTTACTTTCATTACTCAGCTTTTTGTTATATGCACTCTGATGTCAGCATCATCTGTGAGCATGAGCTTTTCTCCGAGCTGTGGCCATGCTGTGGCCAGGGCAGGTTTTTGCGTTTAGAAAGGTATGTAAGTTTATGTAAGTCTTCATGTCCCCACATAATAGACACAAATGTGTATACATGTTAATCCCACTGCATTCCCACTCTATTTTTTCTCCATAGTCTTTATGCCATCTAACATCATATGTATTTATTTGTTATTTTGTTCATTTTCTGTCTTTTCTCACTGAAGTGCAAGCTTCCTGAAGGTGAAGAGTTTCATCTGTTTTGTTCACAGCTGTATGCTCAGTACTTAGAACAGTGCCTGCTATGCAGTAAATATTTCTTGACTGAGTGGAAATCTGTGTATATATGTCTTTGTTTTAAGAATAAGTCCATGGCTATATCATTCTGATGGGATAGAGAGGAGGCCAGGAAGATGCCCTGTCAGAATTTTCCAGATCTCAAAGTAGGCATGACTTATTCTTGGTCCCAGAATCCCAATGGGGTCTAACAGGAAAAAGCACTCCCAAACATGGCTGGGTGGTGACAAGGAGGAGGGAGACATGTCATGGAGGGTCTTACCTTTCCTGGGCATCACTGGGTGTTGAGGGTCCAGGCAAGTCTCTTCTTTCAGAAGAAGTGGCTGAATATACCTGGGCGAAAGGTGACCCTTCTGGATGGCATAGGAGATCAGACCCTCTGCAGCTGATAAGGCAGCAGGGCTGGGACTGCTGCCTTAAAGAGGAGGACAGGGAGTACAGAAATGTAAGAAACTTCACCTGGACCAGATACCTGAAGGAAGGATGATATGACCACTTGAGCTTGAATAACTGGATTGGAAGAGAGGAAACTGATTCAGTTGCCAGAACAGAGGGCCTAAGAGGCAAGAAACTACCTAGATCTCTCAGCAGCCAAGGCTGACAACTTCTTCCAAGAGTCAAGCTAAGACTTTATCCACTCCATCTCTAGGCAGAAGACCTGGAAGGCAGTGAAGGATACATGCAGAGGGAGGCCCACCTGACCAAGTCAGGTGTGTACTAGCACAGGAGAAAAGGCAACCAGAATTTACTCATAGCTCCCCTGATGAAGTATGCAGTAGGCTCTTTATATCTGTTAACTCATAAGTCTCACAGAAAACCTCTGAGAGAAATGCTGTTACCTAGCCCCAGCTGTCAAATGAGGATGCTGGCAGGTGCTGGTTCTGTACGTATTATTTCTCAACTCCATCCCTGTTCTGTGCTTTTCTCTGTTTTTCTAGGGGCTAGAAGCCTGCAAATTATAGCTCCAGGCCGGGCGTGGTGGCTCACGCCTGTAATCCCAGCACTTTGGGAGGCCGAGGCAGGCGGATCACGAGGTTAGGAGATCGAGACCATCCTGGCTAACATGGTGAAACCTCGTCTCTACTAAAAATGCAAAAAATTAGCCAGGCGTGGCGGCGGGTGCCTGTAGTCTCAGCTACTTGGGAGACTGAGGCAGGAGAATGGCATGAACCCGGGAGGCGGAGCTTTCAGTGAGCCAAGATCGCGCCACTGCACTCCAGCCTGGGCGACTGAGCGAGACTCCGTCTCCAAAAACAAAAAAAAATTATAGCTCCACATTTCCTTGACTGCTGCCTTCTGGTCAGTTTCTACCAATGGAAGAAACTAGAAGAAGAGATGAGCCATGCTTCTCTGCCTGTGCAGTCACAGCATCTATGTCAGACAACCTCAGACTTTACAAGTGATGGCAATAACTGTGAGCTCAAGCAATGCCCATGCTGGCTTCGGCAATATCACAGGAGTACAGACCAGTAAAGAGAGGCAGAGGACAAAAAGTAGGCATGTCACAGAATTCAAAGGAGAAAAGAACTTCACGAGAAGGGCAATCATCAGATAAGGTAAGCATGATGTAGGGTGAAAAGATAAGCGCTGAGCCTTGGGAGTGGAGGAAGAGAGTGTACACAACTCTCCAGCACAGGGTCCACAGGGAGTGACTCTTACCTATCTTATTGCCAAAGAAGGCGATGCCCAGGGAGATGTTGTTGTAGCCCTGGGTGTGCAAGCCTTGGATGTTCCAGCCAACACCTTCATACACCCTGCCATCATCCCCAACCAGGAAGCTGACAAGAAGGAAATAATGGGTTTATTGGCAAATCCCCATAAATGAAAACCTCTCACTGATCCTCAAAAGGAAAAGGGATTCTGGAGGCTCATAAATAAGTACTATGTTCCAATAACATAACAATGGGAGGTGCAGAATAACCAGTTTTAGACCTCCAAGAGACATGGGAATATAATTTAATTTTTGTTGTGATTTAGCTTACATGTATTTTCCAGAACCTCACTTTAAAAATACTCATTTTGTTCAAAGTGGAATTTGACTGTGTGACACACAAGGACCTAAGGACATTAGTCCAACACTTTTCAAGAGCTTAAGAATTAATACATCATGTTTTTAAATTAAGGGACCAAGCACTTGAACATTCTCTTAAACAATTATGCCAGATTCAATAGGTCCTTTTGTATTGATGTTTTTCTTCAGATTCCCTTTAGGAATTTCCTTAAGCTTTTCTTTACCATAGAAATTTGTTTAGAATGTTCCTTTTTAACATTTATTTTTTAACTCAAATACATTTTTTATTCTACTTCTTTTATTCCTGCCTCTTTATAATTTCTCTCCTCCACTTTCCAATCAGTCTTCAGAACTGATGTTTTCACAACTTTGCCTTGTTCATGTTTTAATAGAACGTGAGTTTCCACAGCAAACCGAACACAGAAAGAACACCTCCCTGAGGTCAAGGAAAGACTCTGAACTAGGTCAGACCGACTATCCACCCTACACCGATGCTGACCTGAGGAATGGGTGTGGAGTCTGGTGTGTCCACCCCTTCCCTGGCTTTGCTGTCAGTACTTTCACAGGTTCCTTGGTCACTCTTACAGCAGCCTGTGGTTAGTCTGGTGTGAGCAGTCCCTGACAGCTACTGTCAGCTTCATTGCAAAAACTGGAGATTGTCAAATGGTCACTGCAGAAACCTGACTTAGAGACGCAGTGGCTGAAGTAACTTAGGAATACAGTGACCAAACCAGACAACACAGCAGCGACAACAGCAGGATGGTGGAGGTGCTGGTGGCAGGGGCAACAGGTGAGTTGTGGTTGACACGGCACACATGATGGGCAGACGGGGAAGACCCAGCCATCCCAGGGGTGCTGGGGGCCACAACCAGGGCCTGCGGCTGCTCTTATTTATTTGTGTTTATAAATAAATAAATAAATAAATAAATAAATAAATAGACTTAGGTTTTCCTTTCCAAAATGGATAATTCAGAAATTATTTATGTTTGTCTTTAGAGTTCCATGAGGGACAGCCCCATTCCCACTCTGTCTTTCCCTCTCCTTCTACATGTGTCTCCTCATTCCTGAGGCTAAGGGAGAAAAGGTTCTGGGCTTCCACTGATGATCCCCAGAGCAGATACTCAATGCACAGTGCACAGCTCCTTCATGCCCTCCCTTGTTTCCTCGTGGGGCTCTCTTCCCCGCCATTCCCAGCGCCCACTCTCCCCTGTGGGGTCACCAGACTCGCTGTCAGAGTGGCCCTTCAGGGTAACGAGTGAGGCACTGCTTCCCAGGTGCGAGTCCCTGTGAGGTGAGGAGGAGCGGGGGCTGCACTGACAGGCACCCTGACACAGCTCTGGGTACATGCTTCCTCGCTCTGAGCAGAGATTTTAATTCCCCTGAACCATGGCTTTGTCACCCATAAAATAAGGGTAGGAACCCATTTCTCAGAGTAGCTGGGAGGGCAAAATTGGGTGATATTTGTGAAGACCTCTGTAAACTGTAACGTTTCATGAGTTCCAAGGGCTCAGTTAAAACTGCAGTTGTTACATAACCTTCCTTGCTTTTTCACAGGAGCGCCAGAATCGAAAGCCACTTAAATAAGTGGCTTAGAGTCATCCCCCTTACAATCCCCGGAAGATTCGGATTTTGTTTGATTTCCCTTTTACCATTTTTATTCATTACAAAAGCAACACAAATGAAGCCCAGAAAATAAGAGACACAGAGAAGGGGAAGTGGGAAGCACCCCAAGAGGGGTGACTTTGGATGCGGGCCTCGGGGAGTTGACTAGCCTCTTACTTGTATGCCACGTCGCACCAGCCTATGGTGTAGATGGAATGGGACTGCAACCCCCGCAGCATCTGGTTGCAAATGCTCTGCTCCTGGCACTGCATCCCTGGGAGCTGGTCTGTGATGATGTAGGCCACAGGCAGGGTCAGCAGGGCCCTGCAGGCCAGTGGTCTTGCCCCCCACTCCTTGCGGGAGACGACAGTGGGAGTATCTGTAGGGAAGACCACAGAATGTCACATGGCAGGCCCTGCCCATCTTCCCCCAACAGGTCATCCATGTCCCCTGACCTCTCACACTCAGGCCCAGCCTGCCCTGCGCATGGGAGACACCCTGGGGGAGCTCTTCACCCCCACAGCCCCCTCCTCTCCACTGTGGCTGAACCACTGCCCAGACACACGCAGCACTCAGCCTGGGAAGTCGTGCCACCTTGTTCCCAGACAATCTCTCCTTGTCTTTCCCTGAAGGGCAAATCTCATCCCCTACTGCCCCCTGGCCTACATGCTCCCCTCCTTCAGAAAGCACCCCAGCCAACCCCGCCGCCCACCCTGGGGCTCTGAGCTGCCTCCTTAGCCAGGAAGCCTGAGGATGTATTGTCCTCACTGGCGTTGGCCCCAGTCTCAACTGTGTCTCTTGTCTTCCCCTCCCCTAAGAACTGTGAGTCTCTGAAGGAAGCTCCATCAGTCTCCTCAACAAGCGGCTCCAGAGCTCACAGGAGGCTCCATGAACACGGTGTCTGCGCCTCTTTCTTCCGGGCGAACACTCCCTAGTGGCAGGGCTGTGAGATCCCACCGGCGGCTGCAGGCTACCTGAGGGCTCCCTTTCTCCATCCTCATCATAGGAGCCCCAGGAGCACGCTGAGGGACAGTTGAGACACTGTCATGCTGGAGCTGAGAGTGGAGGACATGTCTTTTTCTCTCTGGGTTTTTTCTCCCTCTCTCTCTCTTTTTTTTTTTTTTTTTTTTTTTTTTTTTTTTTTTTTTTTTTGAGATGGAGTCTCACTCCATAGTACAGGCTGCAGTGCAGTGGCGCAATCTTGGCTCACTGCAGCCTCCACCTCCCAGATTCAAGCGATTCTCTTGCTTCAGCCTCCTTAGTAACTGGAATTACAGGTGCATGCCATCATGGCTGGCTACTTTTTTGTATTTTTAGTAGAGACGGGGTTTCACAGTGTTAGCCAGAATGGTCTCGATCTCCTGACCTCGTGCTCCACCCTCCTCGATCTCCCAAAGTGCTGGGATTATAGGCGTGAGCCGCCACGCCCAGCCTCCTTCTCTCTTTTTTCATCTGAGTTTCTCTTCTTTTTCTCTCCTTAGGCTGAGGAACTCCCCTTTGCCTAAGGACTCAGGATGATCCAAGGGAGTGGTTGGAGATGAACATCTTGGGATTCCTCCCCACCCCATTCACTCTTAGTCTAGACATTATCAAGTCCTGAGAAACATTTCTGACCACTTAAGAAGCCCCAGCCAATCTTCAAACCGCCTCACCATTGGGACCCTTGCGAATGAACTGTGAGATCCTGACAATCAGGTCCATAAGCCTCTGGGACAAGCCTCTGACTTGGGTCTCATTCCAGGAGAACTGTGGGAAATCCCCTGCAAGAGAGCGCTGGTGCATTGGTGCACTCCTTGGAGTGCACGTGGCCAGCAAGCTCAGAGGCTGAGCCAGACATCCCACTCCGCAGTGCATAGCCTCTCCTCCTCCCCAGGTCACCTAAGGCCCTCTAGGGAGCACACAGAGGAGAACCACAGAAGTCTCTGGCCTCGGACTGACTCTGCCTTCCATATCTTCCCAGAGAGGCCTTTTTCCTCCCACCTCCCCCAGCCTCCCTCCATTCCAGGAACACTGCAGTCTCGCCTGCTGCCTTATCTGGGCAGTGCCACCTTTCCTGGTTCACCTGGAGACCTACTAATCAAACCATGGGTACCCAGCAGAGTGTCACATACCAAGATGGTTGTGACATGTTGAGCTAACACACATGTCTTAATCACCTATTGGTGCCAGACAAGGTTCTTGAAACAGAAATATACAGATCATTGTGACTGCCTTCAAAAACTAGACGTTTCAGAGATGCTTTATTGTGGATTAGCCACTGCCAGCCTGTCCTTATCCCCCACTGCTCCCATTCAGTATGAGGGATCCTGGGAGCAGTGGCCAGTGGCAGCAGTGACATTGTCACCAGCCCCACCTCCCACAGACCAGCCCTGTGATTACAAAGCATGTCTAAGGACGCTATCAGAATTGTGGCTTAAAACAACTTCATGAGTTAAGCAAAGCAACTATGATCTCTATACAAAAGGGAAACCAAGTCTTAGGGAAGTTAGGTAACTTGTCTAACATAACAGAGGTTTTAAGCGTAGATTTAGATTCCAATCAGAATCTCTAACCCCGAAGCCCGTGTTCATAACAACTGTACTCTGCAGCCTCCCCAAAGTTGTCAGATGAACTTGGGTTAGTCACTGCCACAATGTGACCTGTTTCTCTTCCTACAAGACAAAGTCATCGAGGGTCTCCACCATGGTTCTGGGATTCTGTCTTTCTGTGAAATCAAGAGCAAATACATGACCAGGACACCAAGGCCAAGGTGTGCTAGAGAGACTGCTGAGGACGGGAGCCCACCTCAGCAGGCAGAGGGCCTGAGCTGGGCTGTGAAGGGGATACAGAGGACTGGGGAGGGGGGAAGGCGGAGCCTGGAGAGGACACTTTGCAAATGAAACCCAGAGGACTCTCAGAGTGGAAGAGCAGCCTGCAGGCCAGCACTGACACTTGGCAGGCAGGACAGGGGCAGGGCAGGAACCAGGAGACAGGGATGAGAACCACACACAACTCCCCATCTTGCTTGGGCAAGTTAATTTCCCCATCAGGGCCTCAACTTCTCCATTCATACAATGAAAGGCTGAACTGTGTGTTCCCTGACCTGTGAGTTTCTCCAGCACTAACTCCAGGTAATCCCATTAAATTTGCTGTCTGAGTAGCAGAGGACAGAAAGAAAGCTATATTACATTATTCCTTCAGAAAGGGGACTGCGTATGTAAGACAAACTGAAAAACATGTCATATTTAAGAATCACCAAGCTCATTTTCGTTTTAATTCAACAGCATTTGTTTATTGAACATTGCTGTGTGTCTACTGTTATGTATAAAATGATAAGAAATCTTCTTAATCTAGAGAAAGGGCATTGCTACTCTTGGGGAATTTGCTTTTATTTACAAATGTAGACCTAAGTGCTGGGTTTAACTATGATTGGTATAATAATGATGGTGATAAAAATTAAATCATAGCTACAAATTACCCAGCACTTACTACTTGTGCTTAATGGCGCACACTTGTGAACTAATTTAATCCTCAAAAACAACCCTAAGAAATGAGCAATATTATCCTTTTATCATGGAAACAAATACGATTCAAAGAAATTGAATAACTTGTTGAAGACCATAACAAAGGGCAGGCAAGGATTTGAACAAAAATTGTAAACTCTAGAACAGGGCTCCAAATTGCAAATCTACACTATCCACTAGCAAAGGGAAAGCACTTGGATGGGTTTCTGTTATTAAACTTGAGAACGGTTTTCTCTTGCTCATCAAAAGCACTTCTGATACAAGTAAAGAAAACTTACCCCAAGCCTGGAGACCCAGAATGGAGAAGGCAAGAAGCCACGGCAGCATCCACATGTGGTCCCAGGACTCTGACCAGGAGAGTGTGAACGGCGGCCCTGGAAGAAAGGCTAACAGCTAACACAACCATGCTAACTCTGCAAGTGGAGCACCCACCTACTATGTGGCAACCGCTGTCTGCCTCCCCTACCATCCTGTGGCTTCCTGAAGGCCAGCACCTGGCTTAGGCTTCTCAGGACCCCTTGAATACATCAGGTGCCCAATAAATGTGAGGACACTAATGCCTATGTCTAGCCACCCCACTCCCCATCCACCTCCTGTTGCCCTGGGCAACTCCTGGTTCCTCATAGAAGCCCAGTGCCTGATCTTAGGCCTTTCAGGGTAGAAAATAACCATTTCTAAAATCCTCGAGGGAGCTGTTATGAAAAAATCCTGTGTATGTATTTTCATATCTAGTGGTGCAATTTCGTATTTAATCCCATTTTTATAGGTAAGAACATTGAGGCTCAGATGGAGTGAACTACAAGCAGAAGCAGGCTTGGCTTTGCCCCCTGCACCATTTGAGAGTCTCAGGTACGTAAAGTCATTCAATTCAGTCCTCTTCTCTGCAAAGATCCCTGACAGATGCTTGACTAACCTCTTCTTTAGTGAGAATCATAACAACAGCTACCACTTACTGACTGCATTCTGTGTTCCGAGGTTTTTGCTGAGGACTCCATGGATATTCACTAAGTAGTCTCACAATGACCTATGAGACCCGCACTTATCATCAGAACACTGGGCCTCAGAGAGTTTGAGTCACTTGTTCTAAGTTTCCCGGCTAATAGGGTCAGAGCCAGATTCATACCCAGGTCTGGCTGACTCCAGAGCCTCTGCCTGAAACTTCACAACCTGCTTGAGATTCTGATGATGGACGTTCTCAATGTGGGCCCGAGGTTGAACTATAGGATCACTATAGTCTTTTCCAGCTCCAGGAATCTTTCCTGCTCTTTCAGGTTGAAGTGAATTGCTTACTCATCCTCAGTCAGACTGAAACTGTAGCTCTATGAGCTACCACCCAAAACATCAACTTTCCCCCCAATTTTCCTACTGAGAAACTATAAAGTGGAGTTTGAAACCAAATGGGATAGATCATTGCCATCCAGGGTTTTTAAACTGCAATCAGTAGTCCCCAGATGGAAAAATTTTAAAACCACATCTGAAGAGTAGAGCATGTAGAAGCTTCCTGGGTCAGGACAAGCAACCACTTAGCAGATAACATCCAGGATTCCATTCATTCAGGAAAACTGCAGTGAAGACAAAATGAGCCAATTACAAATGAGGCAGGCACCTAATAAATATGAGGGAAAATGTTCAGCCTCCCTTGTTAGTTAAATGAGAGGTAAGGATTCACTTTCCCAAGATTGAAGCCCTGTTAGGAGCTGGTCTCCTGCAAAGTTTCTGGAAGCCACTATCAATTCTGGTTTGGACCCTGGTCATTTAATCATGGTGCTTCCACAACCATGTAATGTCAGTATGGCAAATCCTGCCCCAAGCTTGCCATATCATACATCCAAAATATCAAGGCTTCAGCCCAGTCCCTGACCTTGCCAGAGACAGAATTGATAGTGTCTCCAATCCGCACCATGAACTGCAAACACTAAGATGGCAGGATAAGCTAGAGCCAAGGATTTACCACCTTGGTTCACGTTGTTGTGCATCCTATATACTTAAAGAAACATTAGAGCAGGAGACAAGTGAGACATAATAGATAAGAATTTAGGGCTCTACAGAAAGGGAATAAATTGGGTAGAGGTAACCCCAGAACCCACAGCCTTGCCAAGAAAGATCCAGGAGTGATGAAACCAAACTCATTTAGAAGAATTTAGAATGAAGAAACTTTTCTTATTTGGAGAAAGAGTTCCACAAGGAGATCAGGGGAACTTTCCCTACCATGTACACATTTTAACCCTATAGACTTCAGTCCCATTGCTGGAAGAGGGCTTCTAAAGAAACAGACTCACACTCAAACTCACAGATACCTGTAGGTTCTGTGCTGTCCCAGCCCAGCAGGTCAGGGTGCAGTCGGCTCGCCCCTGATTGGCCAGCAGCTCCTTCCCTTTGAGACTTGGTCTCCAGGCCCTGCCCTTCTTCTCCAGCTGGTGCCTCCTCCGGCCTTCACTCTCCCTGGCCCTAGAGGGCACTCCCTCCCTGGGAATGGAGCACTTGGGCTCTGGCTTCCCAGAGAGAAGAGGAGAACCCAAGATTCCTAACAAAAGATGGAAGAGGAGAGAAAGGCAGAGGGCTAAGGCTCCAAGCCAGCTCCGTTTACAGCACCCAGAGAAACTTAAGTGGGAACAGACTCAGCCTGAAAGCACCTGGGGACCCGCCCTGTGAATAAGCCCAGGTAGCTCCTCCCTGGGAAAGGGCATGATTGCCCAACACTCCCTGAGTTCCTTCCTCATCCCCAGCCCTTGTGCCTTGTAGACCTGGGGTCCCGGGGGTTCTGTCCCTGACATCTGGGAACTTCTTACCAATGAAGATCTATCTGTTCCAGTTTCCACTGGAGTCACCAGCAGGGGCAGGAGAAAGGGACAGAAATGGAAAGGCACATTCCCAGGAGGCAGCTAGCAATGTGTCATCACTAGAACTTATTCTGACCCCGTAGCTATCATGCCCATTCATCCACCACCGCATCTCAACTTCAAACTCTTCGCCTGAAACAAACCAAGGCTCTCCTCTCCTCACCCATTCCTGACAGTGGCCCTCAATCCTCAACTCCAGTCTCCAAGAATTGCTGTCTCTTCTCTGAAGCAGTTAATGCATAAGACTTTCCAGTCAGGCTCAGCCAAGGGTACCTGAGCTGCAGCCCCCTGGATGGGGAATGCTCAGGCCAGAGGTCTTGGAAAGTACCATTCTCTCTTGAGAAGATACTTGGGTATCCACTCTGTTCTATACACTGATCAGCCCAAACCACACTTCAGGGACAAAAGCTGGGGAGACCTCTGCTAGACCCCACACCTCATATGGCTGCCAGCATCTGAGGGAGACATGCTGAGTGAGCTCCATTTTCCATAGGGTGGGGAATCTTGGGTGAGGACCTCAGAGACAGACATCTAGCAAGGGGACTGGGAATTATAGTTGATGACAGTGACAGACACTACCTTATAAGTCTGAAATTTTTATTTATGACTTTGGATCTTTTGCAGTCATGATTAAGTCCTTAAAATGATAATGGTTTATCTTTAGAATAGCACGTTAGGGAGAACTGAGGAGACTGTCTCACTCTGAAGACCAGACATGGAAGAGAAGAAACCCAAGTGATAAAGCAGGCAGTGGCAGCCCACAAAGGGAAAGGAAAATGGGTAGGATCCTGCAGTCCCCAACTAGAGATCGAAGGACACCAAGGGATTAGCTGGCAGAAAGTCTGAAGCAAGACCACTGTTAGCCATATGGTATTTTCATTAACATTAGAGAAAGTGTTCCTTCCACAAGTAAAAGTTGTAGCCAATATGTTAAGGCTAATGAAAACAGGATAAACAGCTACTTTGTATGTTATATAAATTGAATTATTAAACAAAATAACACTTTGAATTCTTTTTTTTTTCTTCGCATTTTGAATTCTTTTTTTTTTTTTTTTTTTTTTTTTTTTTTGAGACGGAGTCTCGCTCTGCCGCCCAGCCTGGAGTGCAGTGGCGCGATCTCAGCTCACTGCAAGCTCCGCCTCCCGGGTTCACGCCATTCTCCTGCCTCAGCCTCCCGAGTAGCTGGGACTACAGGCGCCCGCCACCTCGCCCGGCTAGTTTTTTGTATTTTTTTTAGTAGAGACGGGGTTTCACCGTGTTAGCCAGGATGGTCTCGATCTCCTGACCTCGTGATCCGCCCGTCTCGGCCTCCCAAAGTACTGGGATTACAGGCTTGAGCCACCGCGCCCGGCCCATTTTGAATTCTTAATCACAGTAATTAGGAACTCAAAGTTACTCAGATATACTATGTTTTTTTAATTATACTCTAAGTTCTGGGGTCCATGTGCACAACGTGCAGGTTTGTTACATAGGTATACATGTGCTATGTTGGTGTGCTGCACCCATCAACTCCACATTTACATTAGGTATTTCTCCTAATGCTATCCCTCCTCCAGCCCCCCACCCTCTGACAGGCCCCTATGTGTGATGTTCTCCTCCCTGTGTCCATGTGTTCTCATTGTTCAACTCCCACTTATGAGTGAGAACATGCGGTGTTTGGTTTTCTGTCCTTGTGATAGTTTGCTGAGAATGATGGTTTCCAGCTTCATCCATGTCCCTACAAAGGACATGAACTCATCCCTTTTTATGGCTGCATAGTATTCCATGGTGTATATGTGCCACATTTTCTTTATCCAGTCTATCACTGATGGACATTTGGGTTGGTTCCAAGTCTTTGCTATTGTGACTAGTGCTGCGATAAACATATATGTGCATGTGTCTTTATAGTAGCATGATTTATAATCCTTTGGGTATATACCCAGTAATGGGATTGCTGGATCAAACGGTATTTCTAGTTCTAGATCCTTGAGGAATTGCCACACTGTCTTCCACAATGGTTGAACTAATTTACACTCCCACCAACAGTGTAAAAGCGTTTCTGTTTCTCCACATCCTCTCCAGCATCTGTTGTTTCCTGACATTTTAATGATCACCATTCTAACTGGCATGAGATGCTATACAATTATAGTTTTGACTTGCATTTCTCTAATGACCAGTGATGATGACCATTTTTTATATGTCAGTTGGCTGCATAAATGTCATCTTTTGAGAAGTGTCTGTTCATATCCTTTGCCCACTTTTTGATGGGGTTGTTTGATTTTTTCTTGTAAATTTGTTTAAGTTATTTGTAGGTTCTGGATATTAGCCCTTTGTCAGATGCATAGATTGTAGAAATTTTCTCCCATTCTGTAGCTTGTCTGTTCACTCTGCTGATAGTTTCTTTTGCTGTGTAGAAGCTCTTTAGTTTAATTAGATCCCATTTGTCTATTTTGGCTTTTGTTGCCATTGCTTTTGGTGTTTTAGTCATGAAGTGTTTGCCCATGCCTATGTCCTGAATAGTATCGCCTAGGTTTTCTTCTAGGGTTTTTAAGGTTTTAGGT